ATAATACATTATATGTATAAAAATATAAATCTTTATATATATAATTGCGATTTCCCTAGGCAAAAGAAACGGCTTCTGATGTTTCAGATGTCACGTAATCGATATAATCGACTCGATCGTTGAGTTACAGAAACAACGATCCTCGTCAAACACGCAGAAATTCATTTGCATTATTCCGCAATTACGATAGCCGCCAATTAACTAAAATCAACCGTGTGCGGCAATTATCGTCGTACGATCTGCTCGGCCGCTGGCGCTGCCTATTCCAATTGAGTGAATCCTTTGATCAACTTTGTATTAATAGGTGACTCTCTTTCGGGTTGAGCAATATTTCAACATGTACATACATGTATTAGGATACAAAAAAAAAAAAATAATGAAAAACTTTTGTATCATTTTTAAATATATTAATTTACAAGTTATTAGTGCCGAAATATACAAAAACGAAATAAATTGTTCTTAAATTTTTAGAATTTGTTGAATGGGCATTTTTTATGATTTTTTATTAAATTTTTTTTTTATATAATCTTCTCTCCGTTTTGTCATGCACAGTCTTCTTTGACTGCTTCTTGGTCAAACCTCTTTTGTCGCAAAATATACAATCATATGGTTCTTTTTATTTTATATATTTCATGTTAATTAATTTTCACATATTAATTATTTTATACATATAATGTGCATTTTATATGAAAATAATTATTTTCGAACATATATATGTATGTGCGAAATGGCTTAAATACCCTGAGGTATGAAATACATTGTTTGTTATGTTTGTCAGGATCATATAGTATATTCTCTGTTACGTATAGAGCCGTGGGAAAGATACCCGGAAGCGACATTAAGAATTATCTCGCTTATCAGGATATTGAGCTAAATCATTAGATTAGAACGAAACTTCTCATGCGATAACAATCGACCGAGAACTTTCAAATACGCTTCGTATTATACCCTATGCGTAGCCTACGTAAAGATATATAATACTATTCATCGATTACAATCAGTTTGGATATCGAGTGTATGAGAGTAATTCGTGTGTAAACCGTGTAATTTGATTATAAAGTTATATTAATTTATTAATTGGTAGAGCAAGAAAAGTTTAGGCGCATATATTCCAACGCAATAAAAAAGTTTCTTTTTTTCACCGCGTTTTTCGTGATTGCTTGATATTTTTTATTAATTGCGTCTTTAATATAATTAACCCATATTTTTTTATATAATAAAATATAATTGTTCGATTTGAAATTTTCGTGTTTATTACAATAAAAAGATGTAAATTATTTATTGTACCGAGAAGAGCTATTGTTTCTCTCTCTTTCAAATTACTTGGCGACAAAAGAAAATATATTTTTTTTTTGCGATAGAGTATACGCATTTCGTACAAAAATATACGTCGATTCGAAGTCCGGAAGAAATGTTCGCGCTCGAGTAATTCTATTGTCAGATTCGGATAAGGTCACGGGAGGGAATTAATACGAGAGAGAGCCGCTCGCACAAGATGCACCGGACCACTGTATAAAAACCGAATATCGGGGAATAGTATGAGACGGCGATCTTTATATGCGGCGGGATTTTCTTACAGGTTTCTTTTTTTTTTGGAGGGAGGGAGGGGAGAGGATGAAAGAGTAATCTCATTCTTGTATTCTAAAAACGCTCTTACAAGGGTGCCTCTTTACGACGTGTGTGCTACGTGATCGGTGCGTTCAACTTCGCTCAATCACGCCGAGGATCGATAATAGCGTGGATTCGGGACCAATGGAGAGTAGGTGTATTAAAATAAATAAACGATAACTATCGCACACACAAAAGCTTCAAATGAACTCCTCCTCATGAGAAATACTTGCCGGCGGAGAGAGGACAATTTTTATCACGTCGCGTCGCAGACTAGAATCTCGATTCGTCTTTCCAAGTATCATTAGTCTGGTGATAAGCCTGTAGTTTTATCGAGAAATCTGAAAAGAGCAAAAATAGACGCGCGCGTAGGAAAGAAACGTTCACTTTTTACAACATCGCCATGCGAATGCTGTTTTTAAAATAAGATCAGTCTTTTTGTAAATGATAGAAATAACAATAATGAGATATTTCAATCTATTTTTTTTTTTTTTTTTTTTTTTTTTGTAACAACCGATTTGTTTAAAATAAAAAAAAAATTTAAAGTTTGTTTTCATCACAATCGGGATTCAAGATTTATGCTCAAATCTTTAAAATTACGATGATGTTTCATGAATTTTTATAATTACATAAAATTTTTCCAGCACGGAGAAGGATAAAATTTTTTTCTAACAGTAAGTTTAATTATGAAGACGTTTCATTAATTTTTATAATTATATAAAATTTTTCTAACACAGAGAAGGATTAAATTTTTTTCTAACAATAAGTTTATTTCATATTTTTATATTAATATGTATTTATATCATGATAACAATTTTTATTACAAAAGATATTCGAGAACTCTAATAAATAACGGAATAATATAGTTTTATCGTGAAATTTTACAATTAAGATCCGCGGAATGTTCTGTTACGTAAACGCGGATTAAAATCGCCCACGTTTTCACATCGTCGTCATATTAAGCGCAGTTGATATCGTTTGAATATATGATATCGGATATCGCACACAAATTATTAGACCGTATTTATACCTCGTCATTATATTAGATAAATGAAACTCAAAATTAGACAGCTTTGTTCACCATGTGGAACGCAAACGCGATATCCCTCGAAATTCACGTATCGACCTTTCCCCTTTGTTTGTAAATGATCGTGAAAAATCGAGCAGAGACATAATACATGGAACATGGAACTCCGCAAATTGGCCGACACGAATGGAGGTGTTGCCGTCGTTTTTCGCCGCATTGGCAAATAAATAGCGACAGGAATATCGAGATCGTGGCGATCCTGGTCAAACGAGGTGACCTTTCGTTAGGACGAGTGCTATCTATTCTTTGCTCGTGTAAAGATAAGGATATCTCCGGGCATCTCAAAGCGTAAGATCGCAGTATTTCACCATGACGATACTCCTTTCGCGCACTTTCGATCCTTTTCACAGTTTCCTTCGTACATCGACGGTGTGTCAATTTGATATTAATTTCGATCTAGTTAAAATCGACTTAGTCTTGATCGCCGCACTTTGCGTTGTAAGCTTATTAGGAGCTCATTAATTAAAATTTCATCGACAAGTTTGTGCAAATTCTTCCTTCCATTCTCTCGATTATCTTTACATACTGACGCGGGCACATCCGTCTCAACGAACAAGTAATAATTTAGAAATTATTAATAAACGAAAAAGAATTGAAGAAAAAGGGAGAAGGCAATTTGAAGCAACGTGAAATTGTTTTTTTTACAAAACAACGATGTAATTTTTATATATAATTAGGTAAAATTATGTAATCTCTTAATTTCCGCGTTTCAGACGTTTGTACAACGATGCATAATCATCTTCACCATTGTCGTGTGCTACTATCAATCTTGGGTCAGTGCAGTGAACTGCGAGTAAGCTTTGCATTTTCGTTTGTTCTTTTTTTCATGTTAATGGAAAAAATAGAAAATGGCATAGAATAAAGTGGGATTGCATTATTACAGGAGAAATCCGTATGACCCTGCCTGTCGAGGTGCACAGATAAGGAAACGCTTGACACCGTTGCCTCTCATGCGCACCATAAACTGCGATGAGACTGATTGCAGCAAGCTTCCTAGAATGAAATTCTTAATCGCAATTCTCGATGACGTAAGTAAAAGCCTCTTGTTATCGACATATGTTACGTAACGAAAACACGACATATGTAACGTAACGAAAATTACGAAAATTAAACTCAGAGAGTTTAATTTAATCGTTGTCCTGATTTGATATATTTTGCGAATATTTGCCACGTTTTTAATAAAAAATATAAAAACTAAAAATACTTATGCGAAAGAGAGAGAAAATACACGTATTTTATTTCAAGTATTATTAAAAATGTAAAAGATTAAATAACGCTCTTTAGAATCAAGTTTGCCAAGAGTAAAATAGAAATTAAACAATTATTACAGTTAGATAAATTTCTGTCGTCGTTGTTCTTCCATTAAAAAATTAGTTGGATGGTCCTCTTATTTTTATTATATAATATCAATAATTATAACCTGTTATATAATAGCAAGAAGAATAATAAATTAATGAATAAAATTGATGTAAAACTAAAATTATTAAAATTAAAATTATTAAAATTTGGATAGATTCATTATTTAAGATCAATGTGGACAATTTAATGAGTTTTTTGTTTGTCTTAGAATCCCAGAGACGTCTACCCAGCTGCGCCTTTACCTCTTCATTCGAAGAAGAAGCTAGCGCAGGTCGATCAGCAGGATGTATATATGGATTATTGATTCGGCGATCACGGGATTATGTCGACTCTGCAAAGAGATAACCGACCGATTGACTACTTTCCAGACAAATCACTCTCGTCCGTTCGATTACCTTTTATTATATTATCCGGCCTAATTATACCGTGTTTTTCCTGATTCTACTCCCCAATAGATCTTTTCCTCTCTTTTTCCTCACCTTCTTGCAAATTTGACGAAGCGAAAAAAATAAAAAAAAGTTAAAATGTGCGCGTGCACGCATGTTGTTAGCACCTTGACTTCTCGATAATAAACACCTTGACTAGCATAACGGAAAGAGAAAGATCAGTTTACTATTTCGATCTTGTAAAACGGACACGCGCGAAACGATTACATCCCATAATTTTTAATCATCTTTCAGCATATATTTATTCTGTTTTATATTTTTAAATATAGTATATAATTTCAAATATAGAAATATTAACACTCTTTAGAAATATATATATATAGCGCATTAAACATTCTAATTTTTACTAAACTTTACAAAAATTAATCGCGAAAGTGTGTTTACATTTACTCGTCAATTTTTACTTTTTTACGCAATAATATATTTTAGCTCGTCTTATACACATCTATCGATAGTTTAGAGAAATGGAGCGAAATGTTATTCCACGAATTATTTGAATTAATCTTCCGATTGTTTCGCAAATATACTCTCGCGTTAAAAGGACTAGAAATCTGTGGATCAATTCCCTTTGGATCCGTATTATGCATGCTCGAATAAGATCGTTATGCGAACGGCAAATCAAGTTCTTGTACATAAAAAGAGAGATGTTAAAACGATGTTATGTGTGATGTTCCAGAGTGTTTCGTCTACGTTTCAAATAAAGTATATGTACATACATACTTGATAAGAAAAAGAAGGCTTCATATATATTATATTATATACTTTCGGTGCAACAACTAATCACGTGTATTAATCGTATCGTACAATAAAACTTTAATTATGTCATCGATATATCTATTGTTCTAAAGATTTTGGAAAAATGTGAGGTATACAGTAAATATATACTCCGCTGCTGTAATCATTACTATTTATATATGTTATCGCATTATTTTTCTATTATTTTATTTCTCCACAACAAATCTGTAAAGATTAAACGAATTAATTGATAGAAAATCATTGTGTACAAGATTTTTTATGAGTTCGCATGAAGAGATCTCTCATGAAGAAAAAAATTAAACGTTAATTCTAAAATTATACAAATAAAAAATTATTTTTTGCGAAATATATAATTAATTTGTATGAATTATATCAAAAGTTATCAATTTTTTTCGTTTTTCTCTCTGTCTGCTATCCATGAATCACTCGATATCATAGATAGAAACATAATGTAACAAAATTACAATTCAAGATGGATGCGCGACTGCCGCAAACTTTGTGTTTCGCACACGAGATGTCACGTTAAGAGGACGAAATCAGAACAAATCCACTCATCTACATCACAAAGTTTTCGTGGCGCACGTTGCTTGAGTCAGCTGTGTACCTTGATGTATCCAAACCTCAAACTTTGAACGATAAAGAGACCGGTTTTTTATAAAATCTTCTCCGCGACGTTGACAAGAGATAGAATCTATCGTGAATTATCTAATCGTTCGCCAACTAATTTTCCATGAGTGTGTTAACGCAGAGACTGAATCGCCTGCGATGTACGTACTCGATGTTAAGATTTTGTGACAAGGGCAACTATGTCCAGCGGATGAGCGGCACGCTGTTGAAGCGCGGTCTCGGTAAGCATTTGACGCGTACGTCACAAAAATACCATGTGGCGTGCAATTTGCATCAGTATCGAGAATTCGCGGTACTCTCCGCGGATCGTCAGCAGGTCGACATCGCTCCTCAACGGATCGCCAATGACAGCGGCAAGAGTACTAGGCCGGAGAAAATGCAGGAAAATGAGTATGCTCGCAAGCTGTTTCTGAATTCGATCCACTATTCGAAGACCGTGATGAAGCCGATTACGACGCACTCTTACGTCACGAATGAGAAGGCCCTGGAGCTCCTGGAGCAGGATTGGAGCCTGATGACGAGCGAAGAGATATTGTCGGCCATCAAGAAGCTGTCCTATAATACTTATTGTAACAAAGACCGCATCGATCCGTTGAAATACATGAATGCTTTCAATGCGTTGCGTATAGAGAAGATGAGCGATAACGATTTAAAGATAATGATGCGGCACCTAGTACCATTTCACAATTTTTTAAAACATAGTTTATATAACAGATTTTGCGAACGTCTGGACAGAGTGTGTGTAAAGCGTTTCTTGCACCTGAAGTTTGATGAGATGCTATTACTCTGCGATGTGATATATCAGATGATGCATAGCAATAAATCTGAATATATTTGCTATGCCATGAGGAAATTAGGTAACAAACCTAATAAGCTCACTTCGAAACAACTAGTACAGGTTTTATTCTTTCTGAATGTGTGTCGAAAGCCACCCATAAACATGTACGAGCTTGAATATTATTTAGAGTGGTGGATGAATGACTTGTCGATCAATGAGCTGGCAATAGCGATGTTAGGTTTCTTCAAAACTGGTACGCGAATTAGAAATATCATCTTTCTAGAAGGAATCATAAAAAAAACTATCGCTGAAATAGAGTTTGTGGACAGCGTCAGTATCGGAGCACTCTTCAAATTGATACGGTAAGATAATATCAAATATTCGTTAATTTGAACATTCATTTCACTTTTAATATCTTCCAGATTTAGTATGCAGCTCACGGTAATCCCTACGTTTCAGGAATTATTGAAAGCTGTGATTCCGCACGAGCCGCGTTTTACGCTGATGTCTCTGACACACATCGCACAAGCTTGTGGGAAGGTCTCGTTATATAATAAGGAGCTCATAGATAGAATAATTAGAAGGTAAATTTTATTTTAATCTGTGTATACTGCCGTAAAATGAAGATAATAAGTAATGCATATGACTATTATACTCTCAGATTTAATAACGAAATAAAAACCGCGAGACTAAAGGACTTCGAGAGATTTATGTTGGTGCTTGCTAATTTCAACTTTGATCCGAGCAACAATATCTATCAAAATGTGATCGAAGAACTCAGGGCCTCTTGGGACACAAGGCGAGCTCAGGAGATATCAGAGTAAGCGTTAAAGCAATAATATATCTAAATAAAAAAAAAATTTTTTGCATTAAAGTAAAAGTCGCGAATTTTCTCTTTATATCTTTCTCTGAAAGATAAAAAATTGTGTTATTTCAGATATATTTATAACATTTTTTTCACGACAGGCATCCACAAGTAGCTTCACGTATTTTAGGATATTTGGCGGTGTTAAGTATATACCCCACGGATCTGATTGGACGTGTCATGACGCGCGAACATCTTGACAAAATATGCCACGGCCAGTATATTTACCTCACACGCGAATATTGCGTGCTGGACTATAGCCTCCGGCTGGAAGTACCCGACTACAACGGGCCATTCCTTAAGCCCTCTATATGTGATTTTTTAGAAAAAGTATGCAGAGACCGTCCGTCTGTAATTACATTGTTGTAAAAATTCGAGAAAGTGATATATATTAATGGATCTAATCGTGTCTTACAGAAATATTTCCAGGAATATTCCAAGACTGGCTCGGCGGAATCGAGCCGGGGGAATCAGCTTTGTACAAGCGTGTTACAAACGTGTCAGGTACCTATATTGTCGTATAATGGATAATCCCTTCTCTTTACATATACTTTTACAGATGCTCTCATTCACAGGAATTGTTTAACAGTACATCGAACATATCAGTTGTCCGACCGTTGCCACATTACGCGCCGCCGGACATCGTCTTCTGTCTGGACGAACAGAATCAGCTCGTACCATTGGAGGAATTTCTATCCCAGTTTCAAACGAGTGAGATCATGCGTGTGGACAAAGAAACTTCGAAGAATGTCAGATGGATTGCTCTCGTTATGGCTCCTCATGGACTTCTAATGAGGAACAATGATTTACCTACCGGAATGTTAGCTGCTAAACTAAGACAGTTGTCCATAATTGGATATACGCCAATCATGGTAAATTTTATGAAAGACAGCAATAAAATATATCAATCTGGTTAAAAATAATGCGAAAGTTTGAAATGCATATGTGTATGAAACTGTATAATTCTTTGAATGTTAACTTGAAATTTCATGTTAAAATTTTTTTCTACAATTGTTGATGGAAATTCATAATTTAAGTAAATTTTTGTAATTTTTGATATCGTTAACTACGATAAACAGTAATTGAAATTTATAGAAATGTGTTGAGAAATTTAGTGTTAGAATTATGTTGATTAGAATAAGACAAGTAATAAAAAAATGTTCTGAATTTTTACAGATATCATATATTTCTTGGAACAAATGTGCATCAACGGAGGAGAGATGTCATTACATCAAAAAGCTTGTATTTAGAAATAATGCATCAGGATTGTCCAACAAATAATATCACGAATATTTCTCGCATCACTTTATATTTAACTAATAAACTTTATATTTTGATTTGCGAGTTGTTAAATATAGGTCACTAAGTTCCATCTTCCATTATTTACATTTCTGTATAATGGCTCACATGTAAAAATAGTTGTATATTAACTGAACGATCCTTATTACAATCTTTCCTACATTCTTGTATAATCATGTATATAAAAAATTAGGAGAAAAATAATTATATATTTGACTACCTCTCTCTTATGAATTGGAATATAATGTCATTGTGTAAATATATCTTAAATACAGAAAAATATTTAATTATATAATAACTTTTGAAAATGTTAATAACAATTATTATACATATTGGACATATATCATTTTCTAATATTTACAGGTATATAGGCGATGTAGAGTACGGCACACAATTTGACCAGTTTAGAATTTTCCTATCATCAGATTCAAGAGGCATGAGAAAACGAAAATACTGAAGCCGGTTTCAAAAATAATTGTACATAAGTTTCTTCGTGTATTCGACGGTGATGAACAATGTCGCGGTCGCCGGTACCGTTCTTATTAAGGTCGGTGTCAATCCGTTGTATAATGCGCCGATGCCTTCTTGCCGCACAATATTTTTGAAGATTATTAAGGCGGGTGTTTTTAAGTTTTGCACCTAATTAAAACAAAAGACGGGAATTACATCTTTTTTCACTAGATATTTAGCATTATTACGGCATGCTACTGTTAAGTGCGCTTTTTCAGCGATGAAGACGAACCTGTATTCTGCTTTTAACCACATCAGCGGGAAATATCGCTAGCCAAAGCATCGTGCCACCCACCGCGCCGGCCACCATCGTTCTCTGCCAGCCGATGTCGTCCCGTTTCTGACCCTTCATCGTCAGCAACTCTCTCGTGGCCTCGTAACCACCGAAGAAGAAGAAATAGCCTGGCATCTCTCGGGCTATCGTCGACGACAGACCTGTAAACAGGCCTCTTACACCTTGCTCCTTAAGAATCTGTCTCGTTAGATTCCACGGCCCTATGCGAGGTTTCTAAGAAACAACGAATAACGACGATGTCAAAATACCATTCGTAAGTTTACAATGTCAAATTAAAAGCTACCGTCATCGGACGCTATTCACCGTGGATTTATTCGTGGCTGTTTGCATCTGTTCGACTTCCTTCATCGCCTGCAACTTGCATTTTATCAACTCGGTCGGACATAGTGTCAGCGACGAGAAAAATGCAGCAAAGAAGCCGGCGCAGGCGTTGCTGAAGGAGTTCAGTTCTTTTACGCTCTGTGCACCTGTAAGAGAAAATTAATCGTTTGTTTAAAAACAACGATTATACATTTTTTGATATTTACATATTATATTATATCGGGTGGGTGACGTATAGCTTTGTTTGTCAAAAATTTTTTCGCTTTACGGAATCGTGAATGAATACGTTTTATATTTTACCTAATAAATGGGCGATCGCTTTCTGACATCCGCCGTATGCCGCGAATAATACTGAATTCTCGGCGACGTTGGCAGCCACCGCGGGGATTGTTCCGGCGTACAAACCCCTTGCGATACCGTCTGTCCTTAATGTACGCAGAAAGCAATTCGTCATGCCTTTATATATGGACGGAAACGTCTGCATTTTTACCTTCACCGTGTCCAGCGGTTGGCCTACGTAGACGAGTGCTACACCGCCTATAAATGTTAAAAAATATTACCCAATTTACGACGTGAAAACGCATATATGATATGTCACATATATATATGACGCGGTATTATAATAAAAAATAACTCTTATCTGATACTAGTTTAAACCAACAAGTATAAATATTTAAAAGAAAAGAATATCAATTTTAATGTCAAATATTAAAATTAGATCTAAGCTATAATATATCTTGCTATAAATTTGCAACTCTTGTCAATATACATGATATAATTTTTAAACAAATCGTTATAAAAACATGTAATATATTTTCTCAACAAATGCAAAGCATTTTTTTTTCTCTTTTTCTTTTTTTTTTCTGACGTAAAAGACACGATCCCGCGTCAATTTGATCGATTACTAGTTTAGATTTCTCAGTTGATTACACTTATATGATATGAAAGATAACTTACGAGACTGGGGTAATCCCGAAACGTTATCTTTCCGTCAAATGTACATAAATAAATTTTTTAATTAATAAATTGTAGAAACAGCAATAAATATAACATAATTGAAATTTTATTTAGAAAATGCAAATGAATTATTTGCAATATAATATTACAATAGAAGTATCAGAGATAATACAATTTAAATAAAATGTTCTTTACGTTAATAAAATATTTGACGATTTAAAAATTTCAGATATTTTCAGTCTTTAGAATTTTTTTATTTTTATATATTCTGCAACTTTTTATTTTTATGCTTTACGATTCTATATAGATCGCTTTAACAAAAAACCGTCGCGATTTTATATTCCTCATAAACTTTTTCGTATAATATTGCTCCAATATCTCCGCGCATCCCATGAGCTGTCATAGGCAATTTCTGCTGCATATTCGCATCGGCGCACGTGACTTTGGATACCCCACGATACATGATTGTTCGTAAGTGTGTAAACAGAAGGATACCGCGTATAAAAACGCGATTATAGTGGACATTACCAAGCGAGCCGGCAACGAAATCGATCACGCCGTCCTTGATGTTTCCCATCGTGTGATTGTTCTCCTTCGGCACGTGGGGCATTTCCGCGCTGATCGTCCCGACGATACTTTCCGTCGTCATCGCGATATTCGCTCTTACTTAAAAAAAAAAAAAAAAAAAAAAATTTCTCTGACGCAATTACGTGTACCGTTTCAGTCAGACAAGTATACAATCAGTACCCACCGCGTGCAACGGGAATGGGCGATACTGACGATCGAGCGTTTCGTAAGACAGTGTGTATCTAAAGAGAAGCCGCTATCGCGCGTGGTCATTCACGTCGTTGTCGATGAGCAGGTTCGGCTCGAGAAATCCCCGGCCCCTTCATCATAATATTCTCTGGAAAAGAGAGACTATATTAGTTCGCGTCTTATATTTGAAAGAAGAATTTTCGTTCTTTAGATTAAGTTTGTATATATTGTATATAATTATGTTTCCGGGAATAAATTATTCGTATAAAATCGTAAGTAATTGAAAAATAATTCTCATGTTATTTTTTTATATTGTCATGTGTGAAACCGCGACATAATATAAAATTCTTGAGATGTTTAATTAACGTATTGGCGATATAAATAAAGTGTACGTGATAAAAAATTACGTATCACGCGGATCGCTGAATCCGCTGGCGAGGACAGATTAGATCCCGATCGCAGTTGCTAAGTTACGGGAGGACGCCGGAAGATCATCTCCGCGACGAGGTCGTCATGGAAACGCAGTGCCGCATCCCTGGTCGCGCATAAGTCACTAGAAGAGCTTCTTTCCCCGGCCGCTCTAGTCTCGACGGACGATTCCGCGACCGCGCAATTCTCCATCCGATAGTCCGATCGCCATAATCGTCTCATCGTGATTATACGCTCGGGCACTGTCGCAGGACCAGTATCTGCATGCTAGACGACGAGACGTTGCGACGTGAAAAATCACTAAGGCTGCCACCAGTCGCGGCAGCGCCTGGCTCTGGCATCCGGGCAAGAGACATATGCTCGGAATACACGAATCACGTCAGGCACGACGTATCCGACGACATTGTGCTGCGACATTCCAAAACATGAATTCGCTCCGCGATAGTCGCGATTGACATTCGTCGTCAGCCGTTGTCGTTTTTCTTTCTCTCTCCCTTGCTCTTTTGTCACCCGCGCGAGGAGGCAGAAGCGAGGATAGAGAACGCGTCGCCGGGGACGGGGACGCAGGCCGACGACACCGTCGTCGTTCATTGTCGCCGAATCGCGAGAGGGCACGTACAAGAGAGAAAGAGAGAGACAGACAGGGCAAGAGCATCGCACGAGAGAACG